GCAGGACAGCTGGGTGTAAGCAGCAGGAAGAGCCAGGTGGAGACAAGCAGCCTTAGCAGGATGGGGGAGACAGAAAAACTGCCTCGGAACATCTGCGAGAGGCTGAGAGTGGGACTCCAGAAACCTGGAGCAGCTGCAAGCACCTGCTCACACCGGGCAAGACACATTTCTAAGGATGGTTGGTGTGGTTGGACCTTCCTATGAAACAGAGTAAATCACAGAGCAAAGGTCTGCGCAGCCTAAAGGCCCAGCCATGGATGTCATTAACTGCAGTGTCAAATTCCACAGGGCACAAGTTGTACATGAGAGCATTAAATACATTCTGGTCACAATGGCAATTGTTCAGCCTAAGGAAAAGGCAGGATTTCAGCTGCCTGTGGAACCCTTCTTTGGCCCCATTTGTGCGACACGCCTTCTGTGCTCTGAGAGAGACACGGACCATCTGGAAGGAACACAAACCAGAGAGAAGAGCTGGAGCTCAAGAAAACACCATCTACAAAGAAAGTAGCAACAAATTTGGGATTTCTGTTACGAGGTAAAGCACGCTGGGGAAATAAACCAAGACCCTTTGGCACAAATCTGTCCTCCATTATACTTGGCAGATGGTACAAGCAGTAATGGAATAAACCCAGAACGAGGAGAGTGTGGCTTAGATGTGAGGAAAGTGTTTCCAACAGTAAAAACAAAGAAGAGAGTGGAAGCAACTGTTTAGGGAAGATATGGAGTTCTTATTATTGGAAGATTTAAGAGCAGTTTATGTAAGCTTGTGTCAGGAATGGCAGCTGTAGATAGCTGCCTTGGAAAAGGAGGGGAATGAGATGACTTCCAAAGGTCCCTTCCCACCCTATGGTGGAGCTGCTCTAACAATGATCTGTCATAAAATTCTTCTGGAGACCATTTCCCTGGTTGATGCATGAACAGACAGGATGCACAACCAGTAAATATTTAACTTTTTTCTCATTTTTCAGTGTGTGGTATTAGTCTTTAACTGTGCCCTGCAAGCCAAAGCAGTAATTTCAGTCTGGATTAGACTGGTCATTGATATAATGCTGAAATATTACTTCACTATTATTAAATAATTTATTTTTTTAACACAAAGCAATGCTATGTCCACTTTTCAGATGCAGAAGATACTTCAGAGGAAGATACAGTAAATGCTTATATGGATCTAGATCTAAAAGTGTAAAGGCAAAACTGCAATCATTTCAGATGTCCTATGTCATGCACAAGGTCCATCCTCTGCAGAAACAATCCTTGGAGAAAAATATCCATATAAAACTAAAAATAATATTGTAATACATGAGCATGAAAAGAAATAATCAGTTTCAAAATTAATCTTAATACTGGTATCTCCTAAAACATGTGCTTGACTTAAAAACTCCAATAATTTTTTAAACATATTTTAATACTCAATCCTTTCTCTAATTCCTCCTGCCTGAAGAGCGAGCTCCTCCTTCCATCACTGCAGTGTTATTCTGTCCAAATTATCTACTCTGTCTGCCACTCCACAATTTCTTTTTCCATCAAGTGGTGTTCTGAGTGTTACAAGTTTTGTAATGCACTTCAAGATTAAAAAAAAAAAAAAGGGGGGGTGGAACAAAGATAAAGAAGTTTACTGCTACTTTTCCACTTTTTCACCATTTTCTTTGTTCAAGCAATCTACAGATGTTCACCAACCACTTCTTTTTGATGAAATAAAGCACCCAAGCCCTCCATCTCCAGACTCCAGATTTGATCTTAGCAGCAGCAACAAAGCAAGGGGGAATAGTGCAATTGGTCTGGAATGAAAATTAAGTGCTTTGTCCAATTACAAGTGAAGCAGGAAAGCAGGAAGGTGTTTTGCCAGGATTTGGTTTTTTTGTAGTTTTAGCAAGAGGCTCACAAGAGCAGATACTTAGCAAGCCAAAGCACCAAAATCAAAAAAGCTGTGTGAAAATCTCAGCTTCTACTTATTTATTTTAAGAACGTTCCACCTTCGTGATTACGGCAAAAGGACTGAAAATGTGCAATTAATACAATTTACAGTCTCTGAGAGCAGACAGAAAGCAAAATGAATGAAAAGGTGTTTTGTTCTTCTATGAAATTGTGTTTCTAGGCCACTCTTGCTAGCTTTTAACGCTTGGGGTTGACAATGTGGGGAGCAGAGGAGGAAGGTGGAAGTGGGCTCTGCTGTAAGTCACAGCCGGCTCCTGGCGGCTTTCCTGCCTCTTGGGCTGCACTTCCCCTGCTCCCTGCAGGCAGCTCAAACCAAGGGAGCAGATTCCTTTGGAAGAAGCTGGATTCCACTCAGCCATAAGTCCCGGGCTGACAGAAGCTTCTCACAAGGCTTATAAAAAGAAAAAAGGGAACAACCAAAGGAAAAGGCTCCAAAGCCCGTGACGCTCATGATATACAGGAGCTGGCAGCGTTTACTTCTGCCACTGCCAGGCTTGGGAGTTTAGCTTTGCTTAATGTTATTGCCCCTCCCCACATGTGGTCAATAATTCACTCCTTCTTTCCAAGCACATTCCTCACCCCTTTCAGCCTCCCTACCCCGATATGGCTCAGATTCTGTTTATTTTAAAGGATTTTAAACATATTGCTTTCTGTTGCTCAGTTCCCCGCCCCAAACTCATTTGCAGTCAATAGTTCTCTTGGACTCCCATATCCCACCTCAGAAAGGTTCCAGTATTGGCCATCTCTCTTTGCTTTTCTCTTGAATGTTCTTATTTAGCCTTAATCTCAGAAAGGATCCAGAGAAAAACACACAAGCCAAGCTCTGGTTAATCTCTCAGCTACTAAAATCCCCATCCCAGTTCTGACATATCCTATGTCAAAATCACTTTCAGTAGCAAATCATTTATTTCATGGAAAAGACTTCATTTTATGTCCTGTGCTTCTCCAACTCCCTTATCTTGATTTCTGGAGACAGAAACCCAGAATTGTCTTATACTCAACTCTGAAAAAGTGATGCAAAAGTAGCTCCACCTACACCTACATCTACTTCTGGTGGAGGCTTGGATTCTTTTCCGTCTTCTAGGCAATTCCTGCACTGTCTATAATATACTGTCATAATTCTTCTAAGTCTCACATATCTAAAGTTATTTTTAAATATATAAACATTCCATTTTACTGGAAAGTAAAGGTTACTTATATTATAAAACAGAAACAGAAAAGCTTACAAAAAAAAAGAGACAAAGCTGATGAGTATGAATTACTTGGAAATCAGCTTCAAACATCTACTTCCCCAAGTCAGAGGTTTAGTCTCTGTGGAGTCACACTTTATCCTAAATCTTGAAGCATTTCCTCCCACCATTACACAATCGAACATTGTCAGTGTGTGTTATTTCACATGCTGTATTTTCTCCTAAGAAAACAGAGTCAAGCCCCCAGAATCCACTCTTCCTACCCCTGGCATGACACAATGGCAGTGGCAGCACTCCACAGACAATGACACAGGAGGCTTTTTTCAAGACTCACTCCCAAAGAAACCTTGACATCTGTTTTTTCCCCCCACTGTTATGAGAACATCAATGACTTCTGCAACTCATCCCAATTCTGCATCTAAATTTGGAATCAAAATTACCTGGAGTCAGAGAAACCTCTGACTCTCAATTAACTGTTGCATATTTCCTTACTACATCTCTTTCCACAGTCTCAGAGACAGACTATTATCACTATTATTTTAATTAAAAACTAATAGTACCCAGCTTTTTAATGCTTTGATCAGCCAAATCAATGAGCCTGTAACAGCCATTCCATCTTGACTAATGACAATCAACACTTTTGAGTTGGAAGTAAGAGTAAGTTGAGGGCAAATAAGGGCTGATTCAGAAGAAGCCAGAAGTCTTTTCAGAAGACTGCTGTCCAGCTTTGAAGCAACAAGTCTATGGCTATGGAAAGAGCAGTAATCAAATATTCATGGTAACAGCAAAAAAGTAACCTTGAGAAGAACAGAGACCAGATGAAACAGAACTAATTTTTTTGCAAATGATCCAAAACAGGGTCAAATAGTGAAGCAAAACAGCTGTTCAGTTCAAGTTGCTCTACATATTTACTGCAATTTAATATCAGCTTTGGAAAATTCCATTAGGAACAAAAGTTTTTGTGTATTTCATTCAGGTGTACGCACAAGAGCTATTTAACTGAAATTCTCTATAAGAAGGGAAGTAGCTCTTTGAACTTAAAAAGTTTTTGAGTATGTAAAACATAAAAATTATATATGCATCAAGTGGATTAAGTAATTTTTTGTGCATGGAAAATACGCTCTGTGTTGGATTAGGAGGAAGTAAAGTGATGACGACAACTCTCTGCAAGTCTGTCAAAATATAATTACACCTGTAACTGTCTGGTAACAGCACTCTCTGCAGCAGCAGGGACCTGCTACTGGGTTAGAAGCTGTCATCAGAGAGAAGCTCTGCTGGAATTCTGTGGCACCATTTCAACAGTGATCACAGACAGTGTGTTCTGGTTTCCCTCGTAAAACGTAATTAATACTTTCACTGATTTTGGGGCAATTCGTATTAATAAGAAGTGAAAAAGCACAAACATTATCTTCTCTATTACAAATTCTGAAATAAGGAAGAACACAGCAGATACGACAAGAGATTTGGTTTACTTTGTTCCTGAAAATGCAGTCACACAAGCTGAAACATCAAAAATAACTTCATGTATATTCGCTAACACACCATTCCCTACGCAGGAGGAAAGCTGCAGTAATCACATTTTATCGCCTATCACTTATGCCTCTTTTAATTTAACCAGCTAAAGTGCTTTGTAATTCAAGGGTTTCCCAGTGCAGTCTGAGGACAGCACTCATGGAACGTGCTTTTCACCTTGATCTCCCCACATGCCGAGTAACCCCTCGATCCCAAGCACAGGCTGCTGCTGCTGCTGCTGCTGCTGCCAGCACTTCAAAGCACCAGTAGAGTGTCCCAGCCCTGTGCCCCGAGCACTCTGAACCCCATTCCCTGACTCCCAGCCCTGCCCCTGACTCAGCACCCTCCTCCTGGCTCCCTCACCTGGTTTTTGCTTCCACACCCACGGAGGCAGTGGAGCTGGCAGACTCCTCGGACACTGAGTGCTGTAGGACTGGTGTTAGCTGCTTGGTGCTGTCCACTTCCGTTTGGGCATCTTCTTCTGCAGACTGCTCTTTGACTTCTGTTTAACAAATAAGAAAAAAAAAATCATTTAGTATGTTATCTGTTTATTTAGGCTAAAAAAACCCTGTCTGTAAGCTTTCCCTTGTGCAGCAGACATCCATTTTATTTATGGACAGATTAACCCATGTAACCATCTTCTGAGACACAACAAAATTAAAAGAGTTGGAAATTACCACCTGTAGGTAAAACATGAAATTGAATGCTTATAACATTATTTCCATAACACAGAGTTTCACTGCGAACTAAAGCTGTTCAAGAAGCAATGAGGAACAGGGTAGGGGGAGAGTTGCTCAATGACAACCTTTTCATAAGAGGTTGGGATTTCAGACATTCCCATTGTCTCTACATCTCCTCTCGGGCACCTGCTGTATCAGCCCTGAACAAGCGCCACAGTGAGCACACTAATCTGGGATATAACAAACCTTTTTTCCTCCCACACGAGCTTTAACTTTGATCAATTCCCTGCACAAGTTCATTCCTGGTTACACTGACTGTGCAGGCACAGCATTGAGGAGGTAAAGGAAGGAAGGCCATGGTTTTTGCCAGCTCAAACTTCCTTCTGAAGGAATATAACCAATTTTTTCAGCATCCTTTTAATTTAGCTCAGTTGCCAGACAGAAACTTATATACACATCTACAGCCTACAATGTTACTATTTGCCTAGAAAGTTTGTTTCTGCTCTGAAACTTGTAACACCAAGTTGCCACTTGTCTGTGCAACTTTAAATCCTCTTCCCGTTCACTTCCTCTTTTTCACAAAGTGAGTCAGGGATTTGCCAGAAGGACATGGCAATGTGCTGCTCCAAGTGCCCCAGAATGCACAGGAACAAGGGTCAAGGCTGCAGAGCAACAACATTTGGTGTTTCCTGCACTCCTGCAGACTTTATTTTGAAACCTAAAGAACAGAAAAATCACAGGACTCTGGCAGATGAGCTTTGGCATATCCAGTTCAAGACACAAGTGCCTCATCCTGCCTGTGTCCATGGCTGCTACATCTGTCCCAGGGCAGCACCAGAGCACCTGAGTCACACACCCCTGAAACCTCCAGTGAACATGGGTTTGAGCTGGGAGGCCAATGCATACAGCTCCTGCAACCAAGTCCAGTCATAGTAAAGCAGCAGATAATTTAGAAGACTTAAGCAGAAGATACAGTCAGATTTTTAAACAAATTAATACACAACATGTCAAAATATAATCAAATATTGCAAAGGATAAGTGACTCAAGTGGAGAAATGGATGGTTAGGAGAATCTGTGACATGGGTGGGCATGTACAGAAACCTCCTACAAGCTTTAATGTTATACATAAAAACAATAAAAGAAAGAAAAATTCTCAGAACATAAAGCTGCACAGCTTGGTCTGCAATACTAAAATCATATGCCCACTACAGCACATGGAGAAGGGTAAATCTGTCTTGTTTGATGTACAGAGATTGAAGTAAAATTACTCTTTACCCTCGAGTGAACACATTTAAGAAGACAATGCATAACATTTAAAACCCTCAATGAAGGTCTCTGAACCATACTGAAGAGAAACACAAAATCAAGAAAAAAAAAGAAAATTAAATTCCTGGTTGCATGAGCCAGATATTTACTGCAGCTGGTGTAAACTTCACTTATTTCAGTTAAGTTACTCAGTAACATACATCTGAAAAAGTTTGGGATATCTGAAACATCCAAAAATTACTATCTGTTTGAAAGCCAAATGGCTCCTGTCAAACCCCTTCCACCAACTTATCCTGAAAAAAACTGCTGGATCATCATTTGACACTAAATAAATATCCTGTTGGGAATACACCCCTTGTAACAGTAAATGGCTCCATACAGAAAACAAAACAAAACAAACCCAAACCCCACACCCCTTAGTTTTTGGCGCATCTGAACAAACATCCCTGCAATCATTCCTGGATGAGGATTCCTGAAACCGGCAGCATCCAGCGGAGCCATTCATAACAGTCTGCAGTGCGTTTCCAACTATGCTGGATCTGAAGGATAACTTTGTGCCAGTAACCCCCAAATTTCTAAATACAACCTCAATGCAGAGAGCAAAACATAAACACTTGGAAGACAGACAGACGCCAAAGCACTGGGAACAAAACCCACAACGCAGGCCGGGACAACCACGCGTGAGGAGCTCCAGGAAGACCACCGGAAACTGTGGCCTTGCTCTGATCCATCCTGGCGACTTTCTTTAACCCAGTTAAACTTTGCAAAAGGGGACTCTGCTTTATTGTGTGCCTGCAGAAACTTTCAGGCAAGTAAAAGCCATTCTACTCCTTGCCAGCTTTCATCGCATTACCATTAACAGGCACCCACCACACCGGGAAGGCGAAGCTCACAGGACTCCCTCAAGAACCCTGGACTGTGTGAGGAGACACAGATTGTTTCACCACACATGACAACTATCTGAGCTTACATCCTTATGGAGCTTTTACCCCTGCTGTTTGCTTCTCTGGAGAAGGAGGCACCCAAATTACACTAAATGAGACAAACAACATCTCAGCTGCTGTCTCTGCAATAAACCAAACGGTGCCTCAATATGCCGTGGGAAGACTGAAAACTCACTAAGTAGCATGATGGAAACTGTGTGTGTGTTAGTTGTGCGTGCCATACTTCAACTTTGTGGAGGTTCTCCTACAGAAGATCAAGGAAGAACAGCAGTGATGCATTTCATGAGTCAAACTCTGAGGATATGGGAGTCCGGCACCGGCACGGCAAAGGGACACCCCAGACACACCTCAGAGATGTTCTTGGAAGCAGGTGGCACAATACATGTAATGAATACTCATCAGATTTGGTTATGGCATCCTACTTTGAAGCTACTGGGAATGAAGGAACTATGAATGATTAATAAATATGTGTAAGGCTTTATTCTGCATCCTCAAAATTGTTTCCGGCACAATGAAGGTCTTGTCCATGCACAGTGAGTTAAGGGGGGACTGAGATTTAAAAAAGCTAATTCCACAATTCCAGAATGTCTCTAAGTTCTTTTTTTTGATGTCACTATTCTGAAACATTAGGAAAATAATAAATACTAAAACATTAGGAAACATTACATTTAAAAAATTTTTATTATTTGAAGACAATGACATCCATAGTTCTTCCCAACCTGGCTAGTGAGGACAGAAAACCCTTCTTTTCTTATTAAATTAAAAAGAAATCTCCCAGTAGTGCAAGGAGTAAAGTTCCTATCCACATGAGTCATCAAAAGGGTTGAGACTTCCACATGCTTTACAGCTTGGGTAATACTCAGAGAATCACAGCATGGCTGAGGCTGGAAGGCAGCCTAGAGGTCACCTTGTCCAAGACCCAGCGGCCCAGGAGTATGACCAGATGGTTTCTGAGCATCCCCCAAGGATGGAGATATGAAATAGTAGGGAAAAAAAATGAAATTCCCCCCATTGACAGGGGACAGATATGCAGGGAAGTCACTGGGATTGATAAAATGTGATGAAGCAACATTGACTATCTAAAAATGTTCTTTTGTTATAAACAATCCTTTTGGTTTTCTAGTAATCACAAGACCCTATTCTGCAAGCTACTTGGGTAAAGCTGCAGCAAGATAAGGAGATAAATATGTGGGCTCAACCATGACAATCAGGTAATGAAAAGACATCAGCATATCCAAAAGGTTTTCTTTTAAATAGTCAGAAACTACCTGTCAAATCAAAACCTGAAAATACGGTACGAGTTCTACCACAAAAAAATTCTTTAAAATATTGTAATTGTCAGTATACAGTGACACTGAAAAAGAAAAATCAAAGAACTGTCATAAACATAAAATTAATATTCTACTGCTGTTCAGATGCAGCAAGTTGACTGTTAAACCACTTTACTGGCTGGGGTTTTACTGTCAGACCTACTGCTGATCTGGCAGACAGTGAACCAAACGTCATGAGCTTCCAAAACTTTCACAAGAACAGAAAGTATTGCAGGCTGGGAAATACCAGCATCACCAAACACAGCAGGAATGTTCCAGGGGTCTCAAAGTGTTGCTTACTGAGATGTTCTGCAAGAGGGAGTAACAAGCTTTTAACCAGCAGGTGCAACAGTTACTTTTGCACAGGGCAGGGATAGTGCTGTGTCAGAAAACAGGCAATGGGACAGGGTGCTTTACACAGCCTTGCAGGGATCTACAGAACTGCAAACACCACCACAATGCTCTTAGTCCTAGTAGTTTTGACAGATAAAAGACCAGGTCAATTGAGCAACAATATGAAAAGAAATCTTAACAAGGGAATGCAAACTATGAGTTTAAAATGTCTATCTGTCCCGATTTTGGCTGGGATAGAGTTAATTTCCTTCTTAGTATGAGGTACAGGGCTGTGTTTTGGATTTAGGATGAGAAAAGTGTTGGTAATACACCGATGTTTTAGTTGTTGCTAAGTAGTGCTCACTCTAAATCAAGGACACTTCAGTTTCCCATGCTCTGCCAGGGAGGAGAACAAGGAGATGGGAGGGAGCATGGCCAGGACTGCTGACTCCAACTGGCCAGAGGGATGTTCCATACCACAGAACATCATCCTCAGTATATCACAGAATGGTTTGGGTTGAAGGCAACCTTAAAGACCATCCAGTTCCAACCCCCCAGCCATGGACAGGGACACCTTTCACTAGACCAGGTTGCTCAGAGCTTCATCCAACCTGGCCTTGAACACTTCCAGGGATGGGGCATTCACAACTTCTCTGGACAACCTGTTCCAATACCCCACCACCCTCACAGCAAAGAACTTCCTTCTAATATCCAATCTAAACCTACTCCCTCTTCGTTTGAATCCATTCCCCCTTCTCCGGAGTACTACACGCTCTTGTATGAAGTCCCTATCCATCGTTCTTGTAGGTTCCTTTAGATACTGGAAGCCTGGGGACAGTTGGGTAGGAGCTGTGATGGCTGCTCAGGAATGGGTTGGACATTGGTCAGGGGGTGCTGAGAAACTGTGTTGAGCATCACTTGTTTGTCTTGGACTTTATTCCTTTCTCTCTCTCTCCTTTTATCACTAC